GCCTTTAATTCTGTTTAGTTATTTCCTAAAGCTGTGTGTACACTATTCTAAAACAAATACTAATGAGCAAAAAAACTTACTGATCTCATTGTCCTTCGTTCAAATAGAGCTTCTAATCCAGCTGATTTTAATGAAATGACTCAATGTTTTCACATGCAAGCAAAAAACAAGAGTTATTTTGTTTATCGACAAAGTTGCTATCCCTCCTCGGCACAGGAAATTCAGAGGGAATACCATGGCAATAACTTAACAGCTTCTCCCTTCCACTCATTAGTGTGGTCCAGAGAAAAAGGCAAAAACAACAACGTTAATGAACTTTGAACAGACATTTGCAGGAATTTCTAAAGATGTTTTATGGGTGTTCTGAAAGTGATTTCATAAGTGTGGGAAATTTACACTTAGTTTTCTTCCGACTAAGAACAGAATGATCAATCTCACCAAGTTATAAAAGATAAAAAATCTTTGTGCCTAAAATACCACAAATGAGAATTCACAATCTAACATTAGGCTGTTAAGCTGCTAACTGTCCTTGATTGCTATTTATTTTCTACCATTCTTTCCCAATTTGAGGTACTGATATATTAGAGCTTAAGCAACATTTTATGTTTTATATTGAAACATATTAATAAAAGATTACACCCAGAATGAAAAATAGTAACAGACCCAGAAACTAAACTGTTTGCTTTTTGAACTTTGACTCATTTATGACAAAAATGATAAACAAATCTTCTAACCACCCTTACCAATTAGGAAAAATTAAAAAAAAGAACAGAAAAACAAAGGAAAGACCTAGTACTTGTTCAGCACTACTGCTTTTAATTTCTCGGACTCTTCATTACCACATAGCAGACAGCAGTCACAAGCACGGGGCCTAGTTTTAGATCTCTGGTTGGTCTGGGAGTATTCTGTCCGACCAATAACCTGCTCAGAGACTATTCCTGCTTTCATCACACATGTCTTCAAAAAATCGTATCTTTAGGGCAAAAAAACCAACAGTCCTCATGATGTCAAGTGTACTTTTCCTAGTATATTTCCTTCACCAAAGATAAATGTTTCAAGATTTTTATAAAAATATGGCTTTCAGCAAATATTACACACAGCAAACAGACCGGCATAGGCATGTCTTTCAGAGGCTGCACTAATAACCTGATGTCATTTACCTCCAATACGAGGCAGTGGAAAGCATAAACATTACATGAAGTTTTCTTACCCAAAATGTTCAATCAGAATCTAAATCAAACCTCAACCCAACTTTCCGTTTACAAGAAATGCATGAGATAGAGGAACACGGTAAGGAAACAATCAAACAGAAAACTGGTCTGGACTCTTCAAACTGTCAGTGTCACATGGGGGATAAAAGCAGGGGACCCGAGGAGACACTAAAGAGATACAATAACCAAATGCAAGCTGTGGACTTTGTTTGGATCCTAATTTACAAAAAAAAAAAAAATTATTTAAAGCTGAATTAGGTGAAAGTTGGAGAAATCTAAATGTGGACTAGATGTCAGATTACAGTTCATTTTCATAGGTTTGACAGCTCTTGTGTTTGGTAAAAGACAATCCTTACACTTAGGAGAAGCATGCTGAATTAGGAACCAGGGGTCATAATGCCTGCAACTTACTTTCAAATAAATCAGCAAAAAAATTCTGATAAACAGTTAAGTGTATATATGTGCATAGGAAGATAAATAAAGCAATTATTAAGAGTTTTTTAATCTAATGTAAAGTACATAGAAAATATAGTCAATAATTTTATATAATAAAAGCCTAGGTGGCGTCATGCCCTCGCGCGACAGCCTCGCGTGACATCGCCGTGCGCACACAGCAGAGGCGGTGCCTGGTGGCCGCTGAGTCCCACAGCTATACACGGCGCGGAGGAGACCGGTCCCGCATCTCCATCTCCGCCGCCTCGCACAGGGAGGAGGTGGGTCCCGGCAGAGGAGGCGGGTCTCGGCAGGGGAGGGCAGTTGTGGGCAATCAGGCCAGCAGGGGAGGGCAGTTGTGGGTGATCAGACCAGCAGGGGAGCGGTTAGGGGGCAATCAGGCTGGCAGGCAGAAGTGGTTAGGGGCAATCAGGTAGGCAGGCAGGCAGACAGGCAGGCAGGCAAGCGGTTAGGAGCCAGCGGTCCCAGATTGTGAGAAGAGGGGTCCATTAGAGAGGGTGCAGGCTGGCTGAGGGACATCCCCTGCCCCATGCATGAATTTCGTGCACCGGGCCTCTAGTATTGTAATAACTATGTATGGTGCCAGCTGGGTACTTGAAGTATTGGGGGGATCACTTTGTAAAGTATATGATAGTCTAGCCCCGTGGTCGGCAAACTGCGGCTTGCGAGCCACATGCAGCTCTTTGGCCCCTTGAGTGTGGCTCTTCCTAAGCCTTAGGAGTACCCTAATTAAGTTAATAACAATGTATCTACCTATATAGTTTAAGTTTAAAAAATTTGGCTCTCAAAAGAAATTTCAATCATTGTACTGTTGATATTTGGCTCTGTTGACTAATGGGTTTGCCGACCACTGGTCTAGCCACTATGCTATGCACCTGAAACTAATTCAAAAAATACTGAATGTAAAATGTAATTTAAAAATTAAATTAAGCCTGGCCGGTGTTGCTCAGTGGTTGAGTGTCAATCTATGAACCAGAAGGTCACAGTTCGATTCCCAGTCAGGTCACATGCCAGGGTTGTGGGCTCAATCCCCAGTATGGGGCATGAGAAAGATCAATGATTCTCTCTCATCAGTGATGTTTCTATCTCTCTCCCTCTCCCTTCCTCTCTGAAATCAATAAAAATATATTTTTTTAAATTAATTTTAAAAAATAACATTTTGAGTCTAGTCAGCAATATGGGAGATTCAACTATTCTTTCAACTTTAACATAGATTTGAAATTTTTAAAATAAAAAAGTCCTTCTGCACTCCTAGGTTATAGAGATACCTTTGTATATTTTCTTTTATTCACACTAAGATTTTTGATTCTTCTGGAGTTCATTCTGTATGTGGTATGAGATACAGATCCTTTTTTCTTCTTCTATACAAAGTTCCAACTTTCTTTACACAACCTATTAAACAATGTGTCCTTTCCACACTGATCTGTGGAAGAATGAATTTTGGTTCCACTGAAAGAGCTAAGCAGAAGAAGGGGAAAAGGAATAAGAAAAGTAGGAGAAACAGCAAAGGGGAAAGAAAAAAAAGGTGCATATAAGTAAAGTATAAGAGTTTAGCTGAGGAAGGGCTAAGAATAAATTAAACTATTATCAAACTCCATATTTACTAAAGTATATAAGAAGTCAGTCGGAAAAAATAACTGAGCACCTATTACATATTTATACATACACACACACACACACCCTCAAAGTTATTCAGGAAAACGTCTAATTTATCTGGTCCACCATATCACAGAGAACATTTCCAGGAATTACACCATCTGCTACCAACCAGTAAGTTGGATTACATTTTACTGAGTTTTTACTCTATATTTTTTAAATATATATATATATTTTTTTTTTTTAAATATTTTTATTGATTTCAGAGAAAAGAAAAGGAGACAGAATTATCAATCAGCTGCCTCCGGCACAGCCCCTACCCAGGAATGTGCCTGGGATCGGACCGTGACCTCCTGGTTCATAAGTCAATGCTCACCCACTGAGCCACGACCAAAGCCTTTACTCTACTTTAGACAGAACAGAAAGGCTGGCAGAGCAGAGACATTTTAAGAATCTTGAAGGCTTTTTCACAAACTTTCAGATTCCATGGGAAATGTTTCAAGGTGACTTTAAAACCTATTTCTTTAATTTAGCACCTAGATCAGATTTTAAAACATAAACTTAGCCCTAATCGGTTTGGCTCAGTGGATAAAGCATTGGCCTATGGAATGAAGGGTCCCAGGCTCGATTCCAGTCAAGGGCATGTACCTTGGTTGCAGGCACATCCCCAGTAGGGGATGTGGAGGAGGCAGCTGATCGATGTTTCTCTCTCATCCATGTTTCTAACTCTCTATCCCTATCCCTTCCTCTCTGTAAAAAAATCAATAAAATATATTTTAAAAAATAAAACATAAACTTATAGAATTCATAACTCTTCATCCCACTACTGACAGCAAGTCGGAAAACGTACATGTTCTAAAGCAGTGGATCTCAACCTTCTGGCCCTTTAAATACAGTTCCTCATGTTGTGACCCAACCATACAATTATTTTCGTTGCTACTTCATAACTGTAATGTTGCTACTGTTATGAATCGTAATGTAAATATCTGATATGCAGGATGGTCTTA